TTGGGGTTTAGGGCTTAGGGCTTTACACTTTCGCAACTCGGACTTTTGGCAGACGAGGTCTCGACATGCGTGTCGGACTAGGCTTGGGTTGAAGCTGCGACCGCACTGCGTTCAGAGAAGCCAGACAAGCCCATAGATAGAGCTCCTACAGAGTAGAGAGCGTCGCAGTGCAGACAAACCCACAGCTTAGGGCTTGGGGCTTCTGGGCTTTTATGCTTTGGGGGAGTCGACTGGTGGATTCGAAGCTTGGGCTGTTCTTTGCCTTCTTCTTCGCGGCAGGAGGAGCCCGCAGAATTCGGGGCTTAACGGTTTGGGGCTTGACGGTTTAGGGCCTTAGGGTACGGAGTTTAGAGTTGACTGCTTGGCGTTTTCGGGCAGACGACCTCGAAACTTTGGCTCTCGGACACTGTTGTCTGAACCCCTGAAATAAGACTGATGCCAGCCCCCAGCATAGCAACCCTTATAATGACCCTTATGAAAACCCTGAATCCTAAACGGCTAACTTCTACCTGGGCCGGACTTCCCCCTAAACCCTTTTTTTTGAGCAGGGNNCAGGGACTGCAATGCACTAAACCCTTTTTCACAAGGGACTCGGCTGCTGCCCTTACTGCCCAGCTTGACCCACAAGACAGTACTCACTAAACCCTAAAACCCTGAAGCCCTGGGACCTTAAAACCCTAAGACCCCAAACCCTGAAACCCACAAAACCCTAAAACCCTGAAACCCTGAAACCCCAAACGCTTGGAAGTGTTCCGTAAGAAAGACTGTCTGGCGCTTAGTAGGGAATGGGGGGATGGCTTACAGGGACTACTATAAGGGACCTTAAGGGACTATCATAGGGATCCATTCCCCGATTCCCTACTCAGCACTAGACAGAAGAAGTGGGAGGGGTCGTGGGGAAGATCGGGGGCCGTCCACGGGGGTTCAAGATCGTTGCACATAGGCTTGGGGTCCCCGGGCAACCACACCAGGCCCCTTAGGGTTTAGGGCTCGAGGGTTTTAGCGTTTTAGGGTTCGGGGTTTAGGATTTTAGGGTTTTAGGCTTCCTTACCCCAATCAACCCTTATAGCGACTACCCCTAAACCCTAAGCCCCTAAACTCAAACCCTTAAACCCTAAACCCGAAACCAGGCTTTGGGACCCCCAAAACTTCGGTATGTTACGGTCTTTCAGGTCTACGCGATAGTCTCTTGCAATAGTCTCTTGCAGAGGGCCTTCTCCAAACCACAAGCTGACTGCTTAAGAATCAAGGAGCCCCAATCCGTAAATAGCCCCTTAAGGCTACCCTGAAAAATCTCCATGCACACCCACCATGAAAATCTTACAAATCCCTATCAAGCATGTCGTATTGTATAAGGCTAAAACACTCCCCCAAAGACAACTTGGGGCACAGAACGCGGAAAATCCGAACTCTCTCTCTTAAGGCCTGCTGGCAGAAAGACCCTTCACAAGGAGCTGCAGGGACGCCAGCCTCATCTCACTTTCGCACGCAAGCACTTGGGCGCTTTTGCTGCAGCTCCGTCCCGGGAGGGGATTTAAGGCTTCGGCCTGTAGGGTTTAGGTGTCTAAGGTCCTGGGGCACTTCTACGAGAACTTCACCCACGGCGCGACTTTCCCGTGCCAGGGGGCGCGTTGGTCACGGGCAGCATGCGCAGCGCCCGCGCGAGCTTGCCGATGCGCAGCAGCCGGAAGAGTGCCGGGTTGATCTGAGGGGCGGCTTGCAAGGACTTGGAGCTCGTTCGGCTGAGTGCAATGGCAGGATAATGGTGCCAGAATAATGCTACCATCCATGAGACTGTGACTATGATAATACCACAAGACTACAAGAATACGACCGCAATAATACCATAATAAACCGGTAATGATACTACTGAATAATGATACGATAAATATAACTATCGTGACACTACCGGAGGGTTCAGGGGTCCGGGAACAAAATTCCCCAGGTCCTGCTGAAGTGCTGTGAATCGCATCTAAGGTAGAGAGCAATGCCTTTGAGAGGGTGCGGCTTCGGGCTTAGGGTTCGGTCTGACCTGGCCCGGGCACAACGAGCTACACGCGCCAGGATGACAGGTTGAAGAGCCAACAACCGCGACAGGCGGCTATAACTTACCTCAACAACTCGTTCTATCCCTCTCTCTCGCTACCCTGAGCCCTAAACCCTGAACCGCTTGTACGCTTTGCTGCTGGTAGACCTGAAGCTTCAACCTCGAAGACCCCTGAATCATCGACGTTTGCCCTGAGGGCCTCCAACACTCTTCCCTTTGAGCCTTGCTTCTATAAGCAGACTTCGAAAACATCTTGCAATTCCCACTGCATTCCCACATCTTCCCACTTTGGTCCGGAAAAGAGGAACACTTCCAAGCCCTAGCTTAGAACAACCCTGCTCGAACATGGCAAGGGCACCGGAAAGGGCACCGCGTAGTACGTCATCACCTCGGCAGAAAAGCACGGCGCACGACTTGCAGTTCAATTCCTTTCCGGCCAAACCTGGCCTTGCCTGGTTCGACAGGTTTAGGGCTTTAGGGTAGGGTTTAGGGTTTAGGGTCTAGGGTTTAGGGTTTAGGGTTTAAGGGACTCTTCGGATCCTTACTTCAGCCACAACCTCCGGGCTACGGATCGGAGCGACCAGGCGACCTCCATCAAGGAGACAATCGTCACCAGGACGTCGACGTAGTTCAACCAAACCTGTGGCGGGGCAGAAAGCTCCGAAGCCCACTTCAGGGATCCCTCTATGGGTAGTTCTCTAAATTAGGGTCCCTATTTAGATCCCCCAAAATACTACGGCACTCTGCAAAAAAAAAGAGCCCTAAAATGGAGCCTAATTTAGAGAACTACCCCTATCTTGAAAAAGGACAGCCGCACCCATAAACCCTCAACGGGCCCTAGACATCCCGAAAACTGGGCTGGACATCGCGGTCTCTGGAGCTGTTAGCTGACAAAACCTCCGCCTGCTACACCTCCCTCGACTCCGGGGTTTCTGTCGGCAACAACCTCCGAAAGGAGGCCAGGATTCATGCGCCACGAATGCTCGGCAACAGCCCCTACCCTTCGCAAGCGCTTCGGCAAGACACAGAGTGGTTTAGGGGGGCCATTTGGAGCATCGTGGAGCTTCGTGGGTAGGTTCCCACACTGCCTTCCAGAACGCCAGCCCGAGCACAGCGATGCGGATGCCAACATCCATAAAGAAGAGGCCTGTCGCTGAGTGAGCAGCATTCAGCGATGAGCCAGGCCATGGGTGCAACATGAAAATTCCAGTGAAACTGTCTGCCCTTCACAAGTGGTCCAGCATCAGTGTCGCCAAAGGTCTACTGTCGGCAGCCAACACCACAGAGCAGAAGCTGCCCCAAGCAACCCCAACAACCCAAGCTCCCGAACCTGATCAGATCCTCAGTGGATTCCACAGGTTTGGGATATCGGAGAACGGGTATAGGACGCCAGTGAAAGCAAAGCTGAAAGGCTGAAAGGCTCCCCAAGACGGTGTCCTGTGAAGATGACATCGCCGACCTGGGTAAAGGTCAGCCACCTGGTCTGGTCGATGCATGCATCTTTACACGTGCACGTACGCATCTCTACATGGATGTGCGCATGCCTGTATGTATGTCTCTTTCTGTGCGTCCTGAATCTCGAAACCTATTTGCGGGCCCCGGCTTCGGATCTTCAGCAAGAGTGGGGGGTCAAAGTAGGCATTTAGGGGTCCACTCCTTCAGGGTCCATGTCACTTATCAAGAGGGTCCTTGTAGTGGCGAGTCTTGGGTTAAAGAGTTAAAGAGTCGGGGCTGAACCTTGACCCGAGACCTCTGAAACTTGGCTGTCTGCACACCAAGACACCACTCACCCCCTTGTTGGGGGTCCAGCAGGGGCCGTTTGAAGATACCGATCCTTGGGCGAGCAAGGGCGGCTCAACGGGCAGGTGTTAGGGTTTAGGGTTTTTTAAAGCACCTAGGTTTCAGGGTTTAGGGTTTAGGGTTGAAGGTTTAAGGTTTAGGGTTTAGGGTTTAGGGTTTAGGGGCCAACCCTACGCCCCAAAGCGAAACTCGAACGCAAGGGGGGCTCAAGGCATTTGAGGCAGCATGGCCGAAGACCTCCTTCAATCAACATCCTCACCCGAAAACCCGAAAACCCCAAACCCTAAACCCCAAACCCTAAACCCTAAACCTGGGGCCCTGTATATTCCGTCGTCTTCCGACCTCTCTCTTCGAAGGCTCTAAGATTTCGGCGCCAGCTCTGGGGTTCAGGGTTTGCGAGCCGAAATGGTGAAGGGCTTAGGGTTTCGGGTTTGGGGTTTCGGGTTTAGGGTTGCGGGTTTAGGGTTTGGGGTTTAGGGGTTTAGGGTTTGGGGTTTAAGGTTTGGGGTTTGGGGGTTTAGGGTTTGGGGTTGTTGTTGAACTCTTTTTCTCCTAAGCTCACTCTGTCGCTTCGCCATCAGGGCAGGAGGCGTGAGGCCCAGAGTCTTTTGATTCAAAGACTTTATAGGATTTAGGGATTAGGAGTCTTTTGATCTAACGAATTTGGGTTTTAGGGAATTATATAGGAGTCCGTTGGATCAAAGATCTCGGGCTTGCAGTTTAGGGGACCTTGCGGCAAACCGTTGCCTGATCGCGCCTGGTTTCTGGGCCTAGGTGCTGACGCGTACGGGGGCCTCATGCAAGGGTTGAAAGTCAGCATATGTTCCCAGACGAAGAGAAATCCGCTCACAAGCGGTTCGGATTCAGGTGTTCGGACAGCAGTCGCTCAATCCGCAAGCTTACAGTGTGCGGGAAACTCGCTTCACAGACACTTCCAACTGCTTTGTTTCATGCGCCCCAAAATCCCAAAACCCCAATCTACTGTGAATTCCGCAGGTTCGATCACAACAAGTTTGCTTGCAACCATGCCGCTGCCAGCCAGAGATTGAACCGTCCACCTCTTCACGGAGGCTCTATAACTTGGATGATCACGAGACTTTCGAACTGGAGTTGAAACCAGGGTGGCCCCGATCAGGTAGCTCTATAAAACTCCATGAGTCCATGGCCACTGTATGGAATGGCTCAAACTCCGTAAGGCTTCAAGTTCCGTAGAAACTTCGCAACAAATAAACCAGTGCCGCACAAGGCTGCAGGACAACCTTCCGGACGCAGATTTCACGGTTTATTTATGTCGGGGGTGCAGTGCCTGGCCAACCCAACATTGACCTAAACCCTAAACCCCCAAAACCCCTAAACCCCCAAATCCCAAGTAGGGTCCCTCAAAGTTTTCTTAAACTCAGGTAAGAACCCTTCAGGATTCTCATACGGCTGGCGGAAAACAAGGCCCAGAAGTCGTTCGCAAGTTAGATATGGTTTATTTATAAGCGTATGTGTGCATATATGTATGTCAACCTATCTATCGATCGATTTAACTATCTCTATCTCTATGTCTTATATCTCTATCTCTATCACTACCTCTACTCTATCTCTATCTCTCTCTCTCTAACCATAGATACAGATATGGACTTAGATTTAAATATAGATGTAGATGTTGAATGCACACATACGTGTGCATATACATGTGTATATATATATATGTATATGTGCGTGTGTATGTAAGGTGACGACTATATATATATATATGTATGTATATATATATATATATATGTGTGTGTGTGTGGGCGTCTGTTTGTTTGTATGCATGTATGTATACATTCAAAAGCAACGTGTATTGAACTCTTGATATGCTAACAGAGAAAGATGGAGGAAGAGATGCTTTAACAAAAAATGCAATGGGACACTATGGGTAACTCCGACAGCGTGGCCTGGAGCTTCAGTGCCATCCAGAGAACGTTCACCTGCCAAAAACAGATGCCCTGCTTCGGCTTGCTTCTCACGCAGCCTCATTCCCCCCAAAACCTCTGATAGCAATGAAGAGAGCTTGCGGCCTTGGATCGTAGATTGGAGCCCTTTTTAGCACGGACTGAGGTGCCGACCCTCACCCCCTCTTAGAGGCAAGAGCACCAGGAACAGCTGTGGATGACCCAAAACCCCAACGTAAGCCCAAACCTCAAAACACAGAGGGGATGCAAGGACTTCTCACAGGGTCCTTGGGTAGCTCTCTAATATAGGGGCTTTAATAATTCGAACAGGGTTTTGGAGTATATTATACTATAATTATGATAAGGAACCCCCAAAACCCTATTTTAATTACACGCATCAATGCCCCCTGCATTACATGAGGGTCCCGTTTAGGGCCATGCTCTACTCGAGTGTCCTAGGGTTAGTGATCTATTCCTTGATGTGTCCGGTTTGTTTATGCTTTTAGTGTAGTCTATCCCGAAGCCCCAGTCCCAGCTAAGCTGTTGAGAAACCCGCGAGGAAAATGGTGGAAAATGTAGATCTTTTTTGCTTTTCCATATTATAGCAGGGACCAGGAACAACAAAGGAAAACTGGAAAACACTGAACAACCTAGTACCTCTGCACTGTTTTAAACTTAAAAAACTATGCACACTGAACAACTCAGTAATCACTGAAGTCCCTAAACCCTAAACCCCAAACCTGAAATCCTAAACCCTAAACCCTGCAGAAAGGCCAAGGGATTGATGGCCAAGGCGCGAAGACCACGGTCGCGATCCTTGGAGTTTAGGGTAGAGGCTTGAAGGGTTCTTTTCCTCTCGCATTCCTAGAGCTATGTCCACAGGCGAGGTACGATTGGGAAAAACACAACCAAAACGTCAACTGTAGCAAGGGTTTAGGGTTTAGGGAGGACCGGATCAGGGCAGAGATGCTTTCGGGGAATGAGACGGGAGACAGGAGCTTTGTGTATTGGGGAGTTTGAAACTTTCATTGTTGACTTCAAGACTCATGGTTTTTCAGGTCTCAGTTTTGTATCGTGAGTCTCTTGGCTGGCCTTCTGCGAGTTTCGTGTCCAGTGCTCCTGCTAAAGACCTCGAACAGACATCCCAAAAAATATCACGGTATGTGCGCCCCATACTGGTTTAGGGAGCTTAGGATTTCGCCGCTCACACTCGGACAATCCAGGCGAGGCATATGGTCTTGAGTGGGACCAATGAAATAAAGTAGGCGTGATGAGAGGTGGCAAATGACAGCGACGCACACTGGAGTTTAGGGCTCCAGATCCTGGTATCACAATACAATAGAGGCGTGGGCCCTCTGGAGGAGCTCTTCGTGCAAGAAACTCCCAAGACAGTGGCCTTAATAACAAGCATAGTGCGGCTTTTCGCGGGTGATATTATGCTATCAGCATAATAAGGAACCCGAAGGAACACTGTGGGCGAAATTTTCCAGGAGCTGCATTATGTAGCTGAGGCTGTCTTCGGGCTATAGGATCCAAGCAGGGTCTTAGCCCAAAGATACACACAATCTTCGTGTCCCAGCAACACCATGTCGAACTTGCTGGATTGCAGAAACACCTGACGAGCTCGCAGTGGATAGTGGATGCAGCTTGCGTGGTTGACAGTTCTGCATGTGGTTCATTGGGCTTCAATAACGAACTCAAACTCGAAGATCAAAGAGTGTCATGCTTCTGGCGTGCATCAACACACCTCAACCTGAGGCGCTAGTTCGTCCAAAGCCTCCCAGCATCCAACAAGCTACCTGTCCAGCCAGCTCCCGCCTGAAACCTCTGCAGGCGCGTCGGGTCGATTAGCCTGCTTGGAGGTTCGTGGGTAGTTTTTTGTGGGGCTATAAGTAGGGTAGCTATAGTTATCACCCATATTAGGGGACTTATAACCCCACTTATAACTACCCATGAACCTCCAAGTGGGGGACGCTGGAGACATCAGATCGGCATTTGGAAATACCGGTTCCAAGCTTTTCGGCTCAGGGGAGGATCCTTTCTTGCCGGGTATGGAGCACCCGTCGTTGCCACACAAGCACACCAGAGAGGCCACTGTTCTTGACACACATCTGGAGCTGAATTTGTGCCTTCCTTGCGACAATTTCAAGCCTGTGACATCTAAAGATGATTGGCTCATTGCGATCATTGCACTAGTGTGGTGCCAGTGTTGTAGTGGAGACTCCTCAGCTCCTGCTCAGAGGAGAAGGCTCGGCCTGTCGGCTGTCTCCGTCTCTTTGACGATCATGAAGTTGTCGTGGATGACCTCGGGCTCTTGCCTGGGCGAACCAAACATGGGCTCAGGTACACTAACTCCGCGGGCCGTGTCTGGAATGCTTGCAGGGTTTAGGAAAGCTCTGCTCAGGATTGTCGAGGGCTTATGCTTCCCAACACCCGAAGAAGAAGCAAGCCTTAGCGTCACTCGGCTGTAAAGACCCTTGACGCCTTGCAAAAATAAGCCCTAGAAAGCAGGGAAAACGAGCTCAATGCCCTACACTGGCACGATAGGGTGCAACTCAATAGGTTTAGGGTTTTGGTTTCGACTCACACAGTCGCGCAAGGCAGGCATGGCTTCTGAAAGTCTGAGGGTCTAGGGTTTCGGGTAGTATAGAAGACCCCAATGGGGAGCAGTCATGTTTGGCCACCTCTGGCGCCATGTTAGAAAGAAGCAGTCCTTACGGGATCCTGTAAGAGTTGCCAGAAGAGTTACTACTAGGCTTGAAGTTTACTTTAAGGGGTATAGGGGTAGTTCTCTACATTAGGTTCCCTTTTGGGGGTCCTGTTTAGAAGGGCGACTCTAACTTAGAGAACTACCCACCCCATACACTATGCCCTGCGATGTACGTCTTCCTCCAGGAGATTGTTGTGAGTAATACCATAAAGTCTAAAACCTTAAACCCTTCAACCCTAAACCAATAAAATCCTGAAGCCCAGACCCCGAAGGGTTCGATCCCCGTGCTGAAGGGCAGGGCACAGGGGATCTACCTTGAAGAGCTCCTCCACCTTCGCCTCCTAGGCAGCAAGGCTTTTAGGGTTTAGGGCTTTTGGGGTTTTGGTGTTTTAGCTTAGGGTTTGGGGTAAGGGGTGGAAGCTCAGCTCTCTGATGACTTCGGGATTTTCGAGGGCTTTAAGGGTTTAGGTTTAGAGGAAACCCTAAACCCTACACCTTACAGTTTAAGTTGGGGGGTGGCCTAAGTGTAGAGCGATTCTTGCGGTGGTTCTGGGGATATACCTGATTGCCACCATCCCAAACCACCCCCAAAAGGGTCACTAAACGATGAAACACGCCGCCCGAGGCAGACTCGCCGCCACCCTGGTCAACCCCACTGGCTCTGACTTTCGATGTCCTGAGACGAGCGCCTCATACTCCCGAAGCAAAAAACCCTGAACCTCAAAGCCCTGAGGGACTATCCTATAGACGAGACTGACAAGCCGAAACAACCGGTTTCAACGCCTTGACCGCTTACCCGACAGCCCTTACCCCAAGAGCTATGGAGAGTGTCCAACACCAGCGTGAGAAGAAATGCTGCCCGGAACTTACCAGCGATAAGCAACCCCACGCCCCCCTAAACCCTAAACCCTAAACCCCCCCCCCTTCCCTGCCACCGGGCCTGATGCTCCCAAGCATCCAGGACCTGGCTGCGTTTCCGGAAGGAAGGCTTCAGGTGCCCCACGCTTTGGGCCGGGTCCCGCGGCTTGAAACCGATGGCGCTAACATCCTCAAGACCCTCAAAGTTTAGGGTTTGCGGTTTTTTTTGACACCCACACAGGGTTTAGGGCCTAGGGCCCTAACCCCTGTAAGAAGCCCTTTTTGCAACCAGGCTTCTTCTTTCGCCGCACGAGTTCAGTGAGCTCAGCTCGAGCAAACCAGCCCGTAAACAACCCGAAACCCTAAACCTTAGACCCTAAACCCCAAACCCTAAACCTTAAACCCTTAACCCGAAACCTTAAATCCTAAGCCCTAAACCCTAAACCCCTAAACCCCTAAACCCCAAACCTTAAACCCTAAACCCAAAACCTTAAACCCAAAGCCCTGAACCTGAAACCCGAAGCCCTAAACCTCAAACCTTAAACCCTAAACCTTAAACCCGAAGCCCTAAACCCGAAACCCGAAGCCCTAAACCCTAAATCCGAAGCCCTAAACCTTGAACCCGAAACCCAAAACCTCCCGCCGCCGACGACCGGCCTCACTGGCCTGCAACTGCTGTCGGGGCTTCTTCCTGAGCTCCACCGTAGCAGGGTTTAGGGTTTAAGGTTTAGGGTTCAGGGTTCAGGGTTTCTTGAATTCAGGGTTTGTGGCTTTAAAGGGTTTAGGGTTTAGAGCTCCGCCGCGGCAGTACGGGGCTTTGTTGCCCTCTGCCTACTTTTAGGGGCCTTCATGCTTGCAATACGGTTTTGGGGTTCCTTTAAAAAGTTCCTTAAAAGGTTCTATAAGGGCTACTATGAGGGTTTAGTGCTTTATAGGGCCTTTAATAATTGGAAATAGGATTTTGGGGGCCCATTATACTGGAGCAAAAACAAGGAACCGGCAAATAGTATAGGTAATTATTTACGCCCCTGCATTGAGCGACTTCGGCTCTCACGTCAAGAGGCCTTCTTCTGGCGATCGGACTCCAAAGGAGGAAAAAGCAAGGAAGATACCAAAACGATTCGACGTAGTCTTCCTTAAGGCCCCTTAGCAATATACCCAAATAAGGTGCATCTGAGCGAAGAGGGCGGTCGTCGCTGATCGGCCCAGCTTGCTTTTCTTGCTGCTTTCACCTCAGAAGAATTCCAGGCTTGGGGAAAAGGGGCGACGGTGAAGCTCTGTCCTGCTCCCTCTGCAGCCCGCATGCCACTTCGGATGACAAAGCAGGCACCATCACCCCGCAGCATCAGCTCGAGACCCGAAACCCTGAATTCGGCGAGAGGAACAGCTCAGCACCGACCCTGATGGAGCCCGCAACTTCACAGAAACCCCCCCAGGAAGTCCCACTTTCGGACGCCACCAAACCACCAGACCACGAGCCCTGAAACCCAGGCAGCCCCTCATTTCCGAGCGGCGAGTGGGCAGATCGTCAACCTCGGGAGTGGGACTTCATGGGGGGACTTCCTTGGGTGTAAAACGTGGATTCAAGCGGGGGGGGGGGGGGGGGGGGTGGTACAAGCAGGTTCAGGGCCAATTTGGTTTTCCTTTTTCTTTTTTGGCACCTACTCCAAGAAGCACAGGCCCCCAAAATGCAGCAGGTTCGGGTTCTTCTCGTTCTGGCCTCTTCGAAGCTTCGGAGAAGCGAAACCCTTAGCCCTCTGAGGAGGCTTTTAAGATCTGCTGCCAAAGAGCCATCATCCCTGTGGACATCCTCCGCGGCCGCACGGCGGCAGAGGGTGTACTCAGTCCCTGCGATCTTTGGTTTCCGCCGTGGGGCTTTCAAGGTCGCAGAGCCAAACCCCACCAACTTTAGGGACACCCAAGGGTCAGAGTGCAAGCCTTAAGGCTTAAGCCTCACACAAGCCCGGAAGGCTCAACCGTAACCCTGACACCCAAAACCCGAAACCTTAAACC